TGCAGCGCTCTGTGTGACGTGTGTCTCCTCTGATGCTGTGAAGTGTGTAGAGCTCTGTGTGACGTGTGTCTCCTCTGATGCTGTGAAGTGTGCAGAGCTCTGTGTGACGTGTGTGTCCTCTGATGCTGTGAAATGTGCAGAGCTCTGTGTGATGTGTGTCTCCTCTCATGCTGTGATGTGTGCAGTGCTCTGTGTGACATGTGTGTCCTCTGATGCTGTGACGTGTGCACTGCTCAGTGTGTGACGTGTGTCTCCTCTGATTCTGTGAAGCGTGCAGAGCTCTGTGTGATCTACAATTTACCTGTACCTGTCCTGGGGACATGTCATTTTGGATGCAGGAAAAGGCAACACCAGGAAATAGAAAATCCAGATCATTCTAATTGAAAAACAGATGCAGCCTGTCACAGCATTTTCCAGTGAACATGCGAGTGTGCTGCAGCCCCCCCGTCCTCCACCGTGGCTCCCTGTCCTCAGCTGTGACCCCTTGTCCTCAGCCGTGGCCCCCTGTCCTCATTCTGTGTCACCAGGCTGGAGTGCAATGGTGCAATCTCGGCTCACTCTAACCTCCACCTCCCGGGTTCAAGCAATTCTCCTGCCTCAGCCTCCTGAGTAGCTGGGACTACAGGTGCACGCCACCACCCAGCTAATTATTTCTGTATTTTTAGTAGAGACGGGGTTTCACCGTGTTAGCCAGGATGGTCTTGATTTCCTGACCTCGTGATCTGCCCACCTTGGCCTCCCACAGTTCTGGGGTGATTTTTAAACATTTCTCTCTGTTGTGCTATTCATCATTATTTCAGTTATTTTAAATGACTGGTTAAAATGTTAACTGAAAGAAGGTTTAGTATCATGTGTCTGTTTTACAAAGCCAATAGAGCAACTCATCCTTTAAAAAATCTGTAACATATCAAAATACTGATAAACTGTTAATTCTGAGTGGTAGACATTTGAGCAGTTGTTTCTTTTCCATTTTTCTGTGTTGTTTAAAACAGAACACTATAGGTCTGTGGGCCCCTTCAGTGGTCCAGACACAAGTGTCTTTCCCTCCCCACACCCATCCACATGGCTGAGGGTCTCAGGGCCTCGGGAAGTCTGGACAGCATCCACCCTGGGGACAGGGGTTGTCACCTCCAAGGCTGCCTGACCCCAGCTCCAGGGCCTGAGCCCTGTCGGGAGAGGGGTCTGCTTGGCTATGACACCAGCCATGTGTGCAGCCCCCCATACCCCACCTGCAGGACCCAAGTTGGCAGCTAAAAGCCTACACAGGAGAAGCCAGTACCACGCCCTGTCCCCTCTCTGCTCCCCTCTCCTCTCATCAGGCCGTCTTCCTGGCTGGTGGGTAGGAGGTGGCCTGGTTGTGGGGTGAGGTGGGCATTGTGAAGTTTGTCCCGGAGCCCTTGGCAGGTCCGATGCCCTGTTGCCTGCCCTCAGCCCCTCAGGCTCGGTAGGTGCTGAGCCTCAGCAGCACCCAGGGAGAGGAGGGAGGGCACCTGGGCTCGGCTCTGCCCACCACACGCAAGGCACGGTGGGCGTGCCAGAAACCGCAGTGGAGGGAAGGTCCTCCTGTCCCCCCAGTGTAAGCACACAAGCATCACTCACTCGGAAAAGTCCTCCTGTCCCCCCAGTGTGAGCCCACAAGCATCACTCACTCGCCTTCTGACGGATCTCCCACATCCATCCGGGATGGCTTCTCTTCTTTCTTGGCATCGGTGACCACCTGTGGGGAGTGGAGACGTTTAAGGGATGGGAGCATCAGCCACAGGCACCGAGGCGCAGCCTGTGGACCTGCTGGAGGGTCAGGCCAGGGCAGAGGCTGCCTGGGCCGGATGACCTCCCATCAGGCAGAGCGCTCTGTGGACCACACACTTCCAGTTAGGGGCACCTGCCCAAGGAACTGAACCCTTGACGTGGGCCTGGCTCCTGGACTACAGCCCAGGCCTGGCCTGTCAGCCCGTGTGTGCCACTGGCTGCCCCCCGCCCCTTGAGTTCTTAGAACTTAAGTGTCCCATGAATGGCCTCGTGGGGGGTTAATAACCGGCTCTTTCTGCCTTGTGGCATGCTCTGAGGGCAAAAGGGAGAGAAGGTACAGTCTGGAAAACAAATGACCCCAGGAAGAAGCTTAAACTTGCCAAGAAAGAACTTTGAGAAACTTCCAAAATGATGACTGTTCACTACAGCAAAGAAATGGAGGAACACAGCCCAGATATCTGTGCTGGAAGGGTCCAGACAGGCCATTAAGTCAGCCTCTTCTTTTCACAGATGAGGAGGAGGACTATGGTGGTGATGATGCTGATGCTGATGGTGACAACAATGACGATGATGGTAAAAGTGACGGTAACAATGACAGTGATGTGACACTGATGGTGACAATGTTGATTAGAATGGCAGTGGTGAAGGTGATGATGGTGACAGTGGTGGTGATGGTGATGGTGGTGATGTGATAATGATGGTGACGATGGTTATTATTAACAATGGTGATGATGGTGGTGATGGTGATGGTGGTGGTGATGATGATGATGGTGATGGTGGTGATTAACAATGGTGATGATGGTGGTGATAGTGATGGTGGTGATGGTGATGGTGGTGATGATGATGGTGATGGTGGTGGTGATGGTGATGATGATGGTGATGGTGGTGGTGATGGTGATGATGATGGTGGTGGTGATGATG